CTTCTGTTGATAATCAAATAAAGAAAGCACCCTTTATAGATCAGGGAGAGTGTGAAAAAAGCACACAGTAGGAGCAGTGCAATTTAAATATCAAGGGATGGATTAGTGTTAATTTCTAAAATGAAATGAAAGGGCTATTTTATTTTCAAGAGTCCTTTCACTTCATTTAAGAAATAACCTCTCTTTATATCTTAGAGACACTTTCTCTTGAAAGTCAAATAAACTCGAGAGCATCCTGGGGCTCTGCCCCGAACCCCCGGAAGGGGCTCTTCCAGGTTCCTAAAGCTATCCCATATTGTACGGATCCATTAGAAAGCAAAATAAGACCAATAAATAATTTTTGTATATATATGTATATATATATATATTTGTATATACATATATATAGTTCTCCTATGCAAACTTCCTTTGTGAAATGCATAATAAATTCGTTTTTGAGGGTTGGCAAATGAAAATAGATATACAGTAGAAACAGACCATGAATAAAGAAATAAAGAGCTTGTTCGACTTGTTTCGAAGCATTATCTTCATAAACCCGGACAGCTTAAACTGTATTATCCTTAAAAAATAACGTCGGAACTCACTCTGAGATGGAATAGAATACCAATACGAATTGCATTATGCAACGTCTAGACATAAAGGTCGAATCTCAACTTTATTTTTCTCATTCTTCTTTTACATTTTGAAGCGTTGCATGGGATCTTAATCCTGTTTTTTCTACATACATCAATGCCCCCATTTAAGCATACTTTGAATCTGGTCACGCTTCGAAAAGTTCATGGCCTAGCAATTTGTTTCTGTTGATGATCAAATAAAGAAAGCACCCTTTATAGATCAGGGAGAATGTGAAAAAAAGCACACAGTAGGAGCCGTGCAATTTAAATTTCAAGGGATGGGTTAGAGTTTGTTTCCAAAAATTGAAATGAAAGGGCTATTTTACTTTCAAGAGACCTTTAATTTCATTTAAGAAATAACCTCTCTTTACATCTTAGAGACACTTTCTCTTGAGAGTCAAATAAACTCGAGAGCATCCTGGGGCTCTGCCTCGGAACCCCCGGCAGGGGCTCTGCCAGGTTCCTAAAGCTGTCCCATATTGTACGGATCTATTGGAAAGCAAAATAAGCCCAATAAATAATTTGTATATATATGTATACATACATACATATACATATAGATATAGTTCTCCTATGCAAACTTTCCTCTGTGAAATGCATAATAAATTCATTTTCGAGGGTTGGCAATGAAAATAGATAAACAGAAGAAACAGACCATGAATAAAGAAATAAACAGCTTGGTCGATTTGTTTTGAAGCATTATCTTCAAAAACCTGGACAGCTTAAACTGTATTATCCTTAAATCTCCCTTACATTGTCATGTAACTAGTCAAGTTTGGCCCCATTTAAAACTCAATGATCTATTACATTAAATTAATCATTAAGAATCATTAAAAATAATCATTGAATAACAAAGAAGTATTTTGATATTTGCACTAACTTCTAATTTTGAATTTTTGAAACGCTACTATTACGACTAGTCATATTATCGCTTATTTAGGAGCGCTAAAAACAATAGTACCATAGCTCTTACAAAATCGCAGAATTCGAAGAGAAACTTAAAACGTTATCAATTAACATACCATTACAATAAATGTCTGCGATTGCACTCTCTTTTTAAGATATTGGCACACAAAATGTTGGACTTAGCTCATGCTGCAATCATAATTATAAACCTTTGGTTCAGTCAGGAATCACATGACGTGTACAAGAGTGTTTTCGACAGGCCCCCCCCCCCCCACACTGCAATAGTAGTAATAATAATAATAATAATAATAATAATGATAATAAATAAATAAATAAAAACAAAATTTGCTTATTCACCGCCTGGCTGAGTCGAATTAGGCCCCCCCCCCCTCTTGCCGCCGGCTTGATCCGCCACTGTGTAAAGTCCCCTCCTACGGGAAATTTGATGATCTTAACACGCAAGGGGGACTCGCACCACGAAGAATATACTACTAGATAAATTGGCTTGACTAAATAAATCAGTAATATCATTTAAAACAAAATTTAATGAAAGGTATATTTCGTCTTCAATAATCGTTAAAGGCAATGTGAAATTAATAATATAATATTCATTTATTCAGCCTAATCAATGCTTGACTAAATAAATTTGAATTATAGTTTGCTTTATTTTAAATAGTGAATGACTGTAATAGGCCTACTAGATAAATTGGCTTGACTAAATAAAGTAATAATCCATTAAACGCGCGCTTTGGTGGATACAATTTTGGAAGTTAGGAAATGTTTTTTCAGAGTAAAAAGTCTCTGTGGATCGGATTCCCTGGGGACTTGGATCATGATAATGCCAATAATACTTTACCGATGACCAGATTCCAAGTTAAGTTTACTTTAAAGAACCAATTCCGACATTCAGAAATGATTTTCGGTGACTGATGTGTCAGGTGTGATCATTCACAAAGGAAAGGCCAGCACACAAACGAATTACAGTTCCTCTCTCAGCTCTCTTTATGTTCATGTGACCTTTGTAAAAGTTCGTTCCCGATTTTGGCGCGTACACAGTGTGCAATTATGACCTCGCTTATTGATAAAAGAACATCATAATCAGATTATCCGACCCCGAAAACCCCATGAATTCATCAACTTTTATCATACTGGTCATTTTCCTTTTGAAACTACGCTTGATTGACCTTTAACTCGGATGGCGGCAATTTTTTATTTGGCAAATATGACCAGCATGACAGCCCAAAGGAGACCTCAAATCGATACAAGCACATCATAATCAGATTCTCTGACCCCGAAAACCCCCTTAATATATAAACTTTTATCATACTAGCCCATTTCCTTTCAAAACTACACATGACCTGTAACTATAAGATGGCGGCCATTTTGGATTTGACCAATATGACCAGTATGGCAGCCCCAAGGAGACCTCAAATTGATGAAAGAACATCATAATCAGATTTTCTGACCCTGAAAACCCCATAAATATATAAACTTTTATCATACTAGCCCATTTCCTTTCATAACTGCACTTGACCCGTAACTCAAATGGCGGCCATTTTGGATTTGACCAATATGACCAGAATGGCAGCCCCAAGGAGACCTCAAATCAATGAAAGAATATTATAATCAGATTCTCTGACCCCCAAAACCCTATAAATATATAAACTATTATCATACAAGCGCTTTTCCTTTTGGAACAACGCTTGACCTTTAACTCTGATGGCGGCCATTTTGGATTTGCCCAATATGGCAGTCCCAGAGAGCGCCCTTCTTGGCGTCCAGGAGAAATCGTAATAGTATGGTATAATCTATCTCTGGGCCAAATTTGGTGCTTTTAGAAGAATCTGCACCAAAATATCCCTAACAGCCCCCACTATAAGTGTTTGCTCAGTATTATTAGCGTTTTTTTTTTTTGGGGGGGGGGGGTGAGGGGCTCTCTTTTTCAATTCCAAACACTTAGCTTACAATCAGTCGACTAAAACTGTCAAGTCAGGGACCGAAAAATGTATTTAACTCCCATTATTCACTCACAACAGAACTTTGTTCATTATTATTCGAACACTATCCGATCAAGAACAAAAAACAAACCTCCAGATAAAATTAAAAATCACGATAAATTGGCCAAATTGAGACTTTTGACCATTATCATGCGCTTGTAATCTTTTTCAACTGCATGTTATTGGATTTTGATCTAAATTTTGGGGTAGCCTATATTTGAGGCTCACTTGTTCAATTCCGAAGACTTATCCTAAAAACAGCTCCCATATTTTGTGGAGTTAGGAGTCCAAAAGTGTACTTAATTATTCATGAAATTAGACACAATTTAACATGATAGAATAAAGCGACGTATTACATAATATCTTTTCCATTATTTAAATGTCCTTCTATCATAAATATGCGAAGTCTGTACCAAGTAACTTGCATGCATGTCTTAATCAGTAGAATGTGTATGCAAAGGAAATATCCAAAGGCCTGCATACTAAGGATGGATTTGAATTCTAGAGTAAGTTCGCCGAGGCATGACATCCATTCATAGTTGCCAACATTAATTAGTTTTTTTATGAATAGTATGCGTAAATGAATGAAGGTACATGGTTTTAAAACCAGGTATCAAAACACAACAAGTTCAATTTCTGAGTATGTAGGTCAAAGGTCAGCTCATTAAATATGCGAATCTGGTTTTTCGATCCATAACTTTAGTATTGTTTGACGGATTTTAATGAAATTTGATATGAAGGTTAATGGTATCAAAACACAGCCTAAGTTTGATTTTGGAGTATGTAGGTCAAAGGTGAAAGGTCATAGCTCATTATGCAAAAACACCTACCGGTACCGGTAATTATATATGTGAAAATGTGGTTAACTTCCTTGCCTAGTAATATAATAGTATAGTCCAATGGAGGGGATGATACGCTTTGCGTTGACTTGTTTTGTATATTTTGGGGGGCCGTACGAGGTACCACTGAGATGCAGGCTGAAAGGTTTATACTATTTTTTACCTACATTTCCTTCTTCATGACTTGTTAGCATGTGTACGCTGTATGTGATTGTATTTCTGTTGATTCACATGTTGAAGGTTAAACACATAAAATTATATACCGAAAAAACAGAAGAAAAAAAGATAGACTCTCTCTCTACATAATTATACACAATGACCAATCAGCATCCTGCTGTCTAGAGGAGTTACTCTACATCTGTCTCTGGAATAGAGCAATCCAGCCTTATGTTTAATACCTTTTTGTTCATTGTGTTGGTTTATATATGAAACTAACCAACCGAACAAATAGTGAGCAATTTGCTCATCAAATTTATTTTTACTGATCCCCTCAGCCCCCCGTTTTAATATCCTGGATCATCTCCTATAAAGTATATAAATTCTTAAATTGAGAGTACAAACTATTATAAGGATTTCCACTCCCCCCCCTCCCTCCATTCATGCTTCATAAAGTGCATATATGCTATTCATTTGTATTTCCACAGATTCAAAAGTTTACGGTTATGTACTTGAAGCTACACAATAACCAATCAGCATCCTGCTGTCTGGGGAAGTTTCTTGGTCTCCTGCCTCATCTTACAGACCTGGACATTGGCTCATGTGCCCTTCATGATGATTTCTACAAAGAGATTGCTGATCGAGCTTCTTCATCTCGGGTAAAGAAAAACAAAAATAAGATGCAAAATATATGTATTTTTTTTTAAAACCTGAATTTGTGTGATTGTCATACAACTAAATTTTTGGAAATACTTTTCTATGCGTGTAACATCTTTTTTTCACAAATCAGGTGAAAAAATAAAATATAAACAATAGATGGGCTAGTATGAGTCAAGCATCTAAATCGAATAGGATTTGTTTTCAGTAGTGTGCCTTACGCACTGATAATGCTAATAATATATGCTTTTTCTCATCACTTCAGTTGGCCACATAGATGGCGCTATCACAATTTAGAACTCAAGATTTACATCAATAAATCAACGTATCTACCTATTCTACTTTGCTATGTTGCACCTCAACATTGCATCACCGAAACTTAAAACACATCGCCAAATTGCTCATACCCCCCCGCCCAATAGCGCCCTCCGTGACCCTTGCGTCCGAGCGCTGCCAACGTAACCTCTTCCTCTTATCTCTTCGCATCCGAACGGATAAGTTACACTAAAAATCACTCCCAAAAGTTGAAGAGTTTTTCCTCTTTAGTCGCTTTTTGGTTCGCATTTTCGCCTTTTATAATTATTCTCTACGATTTCCTTTTCGTTAGAGAGTAGTTTCACTCCGTGAATTTATTTATTTATCAGTATTCTAGAACGTTTTCTTACCGACAACTGTTCTTTTCCTCTTTCGCGTTTTCCCGTTCTCACTCTGAGGTCTCGGGTGCGTGCGGGGGTAGTCGGTGGGGTGTTTCAGTCACTGGTAGTTTATTTAATTCTTTTTGATAATTGCTCGTACCCTTTGTTTAATCTTTCTTTCCCGCAGGTTTAATATGTCTCGCAGTTCTAATTTTCTCTTAGCAGGTTTCTCTAAGAAGAAATCGAATTCTGTCGCGAGAAAGAAGACGAAGGATTCTAGCAAGTCTTCGTTAGTTACGCCCCTCGGGAGCGGTGGTGACACCGCAAACCCCGGGGATGCAAATGTCAGCGGACATTTATGCGGGCAAGGCAAGCCCATGAGAATGGTCGAGGGGGCGATGTTATCTCCCCTCGAGACGGTTCCCGGAAACCCAGAGGTATCAACTCTGGGTGGAACGGACCTTAGTTCTGCACCGCCATCAATTGTTCCGTCAGGTCTTTTGTTTGGTCGGTGCACAAATCCATCGACGGATATTCGGGTTGCTACCGTGGATCCGGACTTGGACCGGTCACCGACCGGTTCTTCTGTTCCTTTGTCGGCTTTGCCGGTTCCGGATTTCGGTCCGGATACCCGTGCAGCCGAGTCGGATCCTGGTGCTTCAACTAACCGCGCCTCTTTGTCGGTCCGTTTTCCCGATTCAGTTTGCGTGGAGCTCCTACCGTCGGGCTTTTATCGGATACCCGTCCCGTTTCTTCATCGGCCGTTTCCGTTACCGCTACTTCTCGTAAGAGGCGGGGTATCCGGGATGCTGTGGCCGGTTCTTCCTCGGATTTTGTTTATCCGTCGAAGAAACCGCGCTCTGATGTTACGGAACCGTTTGCGGCTCCTCGGGGTCCGCCTTTGGTGGCTACTCTCCCTCCGTCGGTGCCTCCACCCCCGCCGGAATTTTCGGATTGGATGCGGGCTTTTGCTGACGCGTTTCGCTCTTCGATGCCCGAGTCGGCTCCTCCGGTTCTTCCTACTTCAGTGTCGGATCCGATCGCGGTTGATTTAATTTCGGAGCTTTCCGAAGATGCATCGATCTCTCCTGAGCAGTTGCCGGTGCGGGTTTCGAGTTGTCGTATTCCGCCAGGGTCCTCTCTTTTTGCTTCTCCGCCTCACGCATCGTTGGGCGCTCCGATAGGCGGGGATCGTCCCTGTTTATCTGGTCAAGATAGGGGGGGCTCGGTTGATCGTTGGGACACTGGTTCCATCGCTCAGTCGTCTGGTTCAGCTGCGGGGGATGATGCGTCTACTCCGTTTGTGTCTCTGGCGGCGGAGCCTTGTTTCACAAATATGTGCCCGATTCTTGTGTCGTCCCGGAGTTATCGTCGGGGCGGCGGGGCTTCCTGTCTTCTAAATCGGACTCTTCAGCAGTTCAGGGACTGTTTCTTCCTGATCTACACAAAGAAGAATTTGTGAACGCCGCAAAAGACTTGTCGTCATCGACGAACAAGTACGCTTTCGTTCCTCAGGATGCTGAGTCGTATTTGTGTCCTAAACGGGTTTCTCCCAAACTTGTGGGGGTAGCCAGTCGTTTGGGGAAGAAGTTTGGGACTCGTGGTCCTTTTGATAAAAGTGACAACTTGCTGTTTGATCTTTCTTCATTGACTGCTTCTGGTCTCCGGATGTCCGTTGTTATGGACATGCTGGTGGAGCTTTTGGCTAGTGCGGACGATCTCCATATCACTGTTGAGGATCGTTCGATCTTGGTGCAGGTCATGAGAGAGGTATCGGGTATTCTTTTCTCACAGCTTGCGGTGGCTTCGCATTCCATCGAGAAGCATCGTCGGGAGGCTGTGCTCACTAGTTTGGGCATTCGACCACGCCAAATTCCAGGACTGCTTCCGCAGATTCCAGTGGCCAGCCCCCACCTTTGTGGAGATAGTTTCACTACTCTACTGCAAGCTGAGATTGATGGTGAGAAGCAGGCTCGAGACCTGTCCGTTGCTTTTCGCGATGTCCAAAAGCCGGTTCCTTCCTCCAGACCTTGTAAGAAAAGTTCGAAGAGTTCGGGTTCTTCTCGTAAGAACGTCGGCCAGTCTAAGGGCCGCCCTCAGGACTGGTACCCGGTCGAGGAGGAATACCAGGATCGTGGTCGTCCTTCGTCTCGAGATTCGTCTTACCGTGATTCTTCTTACCGTGGTGCGTCGTCTCGTGGTTCGACTTCTAGGGGTAGGTCGTCCAGGGGTAGTCGCGGGGGATATTCATCTTTCTCTAGATGATGGCTCCCCCCGAGTGCTTGGGTCTCAGGTCTGCGGGCGGCTCCGGAGATTTCTCCCGGCGTGGGAGAAGATCACCAGCGACGCGTTTGTTCTGTCGGTGGTGCGAGAAGGGTTCTTCATCGATATTGTGGAACCTCTTCCGAATGGCGTCCTCCGGAGCCGCTCTCCGATCATGTTCCCTCTTTTTCAGGGTCACATTTCCTCCGAAATCGTGTCTCTGTTAGAGAAGGGGGCAATAGAAGAAGTAGACGATCACCCGTGTCTTTGTTTGTCGCCGGTGTTCGTGATTCCCAAGTGCTCGGGTTCTTTAAGAATGATTCTCAACATGAAGCGGATCAACCTTCATCTGGGAAAGGTTCATTTCCGAATGGATCATCTGGCAACCATCCTTCCGTCTTTGAATCCAGCAGACGTCGCGGTTTCTTTGGATCTTCGCGACGCTTATTTTCATATACCGATACATCCGCGGTCGCGGGACCTTCTGGGGTTTGCCTTCCTGGGCAAATTCTACCGATACAGAGCGCTCCCGTTCGGTTTGCGCCCTGCTCCTCGGAATTTGACGAGAGTCGTGGCGTCGGTCATGGCGTTTCTGAGAAGACGGGGTCTTCGTCTTTTCGCTTATCTGGACGCAAAGTCGGAGGCTCTGCTGTTGGATCATGTGCAGATTTTGATCAGCACGACTCAAGATCTCGGATTTCTCATAAATTGGGAGAAATCGGAGTTCGTCCCGACTCGCACGCCGTCTTACCTAGGTGCTCAGCTGGACATTCGTCATCAGCTGGCTCGTCCCAGTCTCGACAGGGTCGAGACGATAGTCAGGACGGCTCGTTCTCTGAGATGTGCACGAGCGGTGGCTTCAGTGGCTAGGGTATCTCTCCAGTCTAGCCGACATTCTTCCAGATTGTCGACTATTGATGAGACCCTTCCAACTCTTTCTGTTGGAGTTTTATCAGCCGGGCGTGAGTTCACTTTTTACGTGGATCCCCCTGTCGTCCAGAATCAAGGGTCTTCTAGGTCCTTGGCTTCGTCGTTCCTTCCTCCTTCAGGGCAAACGCTTCCGAGTTCCTCTCCCTTCCGTGACCGTCACCACGGACGCGTCGCTGTTGGGTTGGGGAGGTCATTGCCAGGGGTCAATGATTTCAGGAGACTGGAGTCGTCTGGACTTTCTGCCCCACATCAATGTGTTGGAACTCATGGGAGTGTTTGCTTCGCTTCGTCACTTCCGTGCTCGTCTGGTGGGTCGCTCGGTTCTGATACTTACGGACAACGTGTCGGTGATGGCGTACATCAACAGACAGGGAGGCACTCATTCTGTGGCTCTGAACGAGTTGGCCTCTCAACTCTGGGCGTGGTGCAAGGGGGCGAGGGTGTTCCCGATTGCATCACATATCCCGGGCGAAGAGAATATCATAGCGGACTTTCTCTCCAGAGGCAAGTGCCTTCCCTCGGAGTGGACTCTGTCTCCGACTGTCTTCAGGCAACTGGTGAGAGTGTTCGGTGTTCTCGACATCGATCTCTTCGCAACTTCGCTCAACCATCGTCTTCCTCGATTTTGTTCAAGAGTCCGGGAACCAGGAGCTTTTGTTCTGGACGCTTTCGCGATCCCGTGGGGGGGTGGAGGGCTTACGCCTTTCCCCCGTTCGCCTTGATTCCCCGTGTGCTCAGGAAGATCAGGGAAGATCAAGCGATGGTGATTCTCATAGCTCCTTGGTGGCCGGCGAGGTCGTGGTTTCAGGACCTCCTGACCCTCCTGGTGGGGACTCCGTGGTCGTTGCCATGTCATCCGGATCTGGTGTCGCAACCTCTGTAGGGTATTCTACACCAGCGGCCGGAAATCCTCCATCTGACCGCTTGGCCGTTATCGGGGAGAGGGCTCGTTCGTCAGGTTTCTCCGAACGTGCTGCACAATTTCTAGTTCAGAGTAGACGAGAGTCTACCAGGGCGGTTTACAACTCCAGGTTAGATGCTTTTCACACTTGGTGTGAGGAGGTGGGCGTCGCCCCTAGAGAGGCGTCTTTACCTTCTATTGCTGACTTTCTGATCTCTTTGTATGACAAGGGAAGAGCTCTGTCGACGATTCGTGGCTATCGGTCAGCTATAGC